TTTCTTTATTTTTCTCCCCTGAAGTTCGTATATGATGGATTTCGGGTTTTAAGTTGTTGGGCGGCCACGCAACGAGAAAAAGGAGTTTGGAATATGGGAAAAGCTGTGAGCAAAGTTTTATTTAGACTTTTCTAAATCTCATACAGAAGTTGTATAACAATTTGTTTCAAAGAAATTCACATACATACCACCCTAATTCCTGCATATTTACATATCTAACACCCAAATTTCAATTCTCACATATGTGCTATCTTGTCTATGCATGCAATTGTGTTATTTCTTTTGGACTATCAAAAATTTGGGTGGTATATATGTAAGTGCTACATATGTAAATACTTAAGAATTGCATGGTCTGTGTGTAAATTTTACTTAGTTTGCTTTCACTGAAGTTTGAATGCTAGATTTTTTTTTAAATATGTGGGAATGGATGTTTACACATGCAAATCCTTTTTTGATCCTTCTTGGTCAGTTGCTGGATGTTATTGCTGTTTTGGAACATGAAGGACTTTGTATAGAGGGGGAGTTGATTCTCTCTTCAATGTTTTGTTTATATATCATGTCATTCACCTGTATTTATATATGTATCACTTGGGCTAGCAGGTATGTGTGCTGAGTTTAGTTTGTATGTGTGCAGACTTTGCCCCTTTATCCCTAAAACAGCTCTTTACTTCACCATTGATTTGCTAGAAGATAGTTCTGTGAACTTCAAAGCACTCGTGGTTTTTTTTTTTGGGATTTTCCCGTGCTTTCTACGATTTTTCACCGATTCGTCGATTTCCTCACACTTTTTTTTTTTTGTCTCGAGTCTTTTGACGATTTTTCTCGAGTTTTCCGGTTGACGTTTCTTTGCTTTCGTTTATATAAAGCATTTCGGCCTCCCCTTTTGGTCCTTACCCGTGAGGCCTATTGAAGGTCGTTTGGTGCGATTTGGTCATTCTTGCTAGGCTTGATTGGCTTGAATGTTATTGATGAATCAAGTTTGTCATTCTAAAAATTATGTGTCATCCAAAAAATTATAATAATTTTAGTTATTCTTTTATGTTTGTCAGGGAAGCATAGTAGTCACTGGTGGTTCTTTTGGGATCTTCTCAATGGTTCAAGGTGTACATTAGTAATGTTAAGTACCCAGCCCGAGATACATAGTCTTAGGGTGGAGCTCGACATGCAGAGGCAACATTTTGTTATAGATTTTTTTGTGTTCCCAATATGGAGCTTGGACGTGGTGTGGTTCTTAGAATGCAGTGGCTTCGTATCTTGGGGGCTTGTTTACATGATCATAATGAATTGACTATGGAGTTTCATTAGAACGACAAACAAGTCATGTTGGCTGGGAGTACCTCCATGCCTATCTGACAAGTTAGTTTCTTACAATTGCTTCTTGGTTCGGTTTTCGATGCTTATGTCCGATGCATAAGTGTCCACGTATAGCCTTTTGCTATACGTGAAACCATCAAGCAAGGTCGCAAGTAGTCGTTTTGGGGCGTACGGTGTTGATGATAAAGGCACACCGAAGATAGAGCGGAAAGATACCCTATCCTATAACATCAAGATCCAGGCATTTGATGAAAAATATGATATGGTATCCTTCACCAATATAAGTCTAGCGGGAGTTGGCTCGAACCTCATCAGATGAATGGCAGTTCCCCGGAGGATTGCCAGCCCCCCCCCCGACAGTGTAATCGACTCGTGGACAACGAAAATTTCTAAAAAAAAAAATAAGTTTTGATAAACTCTTTTGAACAACTCTTCTTTGCATGCTTAAGAGGTTGTGTGTATGTCAAAAACATAAATTTCAAAAATACATTTTAAACTTGGTTGTCCACCTGACGAATACTTGTTTAGGCTGGAAAATAGCCCTCTAAGTGAGGCTCAAGATACACTTCTAAACGAGTGGCGGGTTCTTTACATTCGGGTGACCGAGTAGCCTTCGCAGACCATCGAGTATAAATAACGGCGGATACCTAGCCCCATACGGATATCACGGGCATACAGGTTTGTTTTACATTTTACAGTGCTTTATTTTCCTATTGTTACTTGCTACTATTCTTCCTGTACAACATGTTATACCATTTCTATTCTTACCTGCTACTGTACTGTATAGCATGTTATATTATTCGGGTTTCTACTTGCTACTATTTTTCCTATATAACGTTATACTGTTCCTGTTTCTACTTGTTACTGTTCTACATACATCTCCTGTTTGTTCCTACATTACACATTTTATATTATATAGCTTTAAGCATGTTTTCTTTTTATATAGAATGTTTAGAGATAACCATAGGACCGTTTGATTTGACACCATAATTGGACACCCTAGAAAACTTAAGCTCGTTACGTCAGTGAGCTTAGAGCTAGCGCAGTGGGCAGCACGATCATCTTCAACAACAGAGCATGTCTTCCCCAACAAAATCATTCCTTTTCCTAGAAATTAAACAGCAAATTAGAAGATTTCGAGGTTGTTTGTCTAGCGCAACATAAATCCTCTACCTTTTCTTTAGACATTCGTATAGCTCTGTTGTATGATTTAAGCTCTAACTCGTTCTAGGTTCCGAGGTTGTCGTTCGATACGATATAAACCCTTATATCTTCCAGGCGACTTGTGTGACCGTGTCACGCAAAAATAAGCCCTAATTAAATAAAATTGACAGGATGAAATACTTGAATAATTTCTTCTCAAAAATGAAGCCAAATCATAGGATAGACCGGGAAGTCACCAGAGTTCACCTCCGGATCTGTGACCTCCCCTAGTTTCTCTTCATTTGGATTCCTCAACAATGTTCCAGAATCGAGCATTTCCCCTTTCACATCTCTTTATCTGCCCTAATTAAATAAAATTGACAGGATGAAATACTTGAATAATTTCTTCTCAAAAATGAAGCCAAATCATAGGATAGACCGGGAAGTCACCAGAGTTCACCTCCGGATCTGTGACCTCCCCTAGTTTCTCTTCATTTGGATTCCTCAACAATGTTCCAGAATCGAGCATTTCCCCTTTCACATCTCTTTATCTGATTTCGTTGAAAATTCCTATCCTTTTGACTTCTTTGAAGATAGTATTCCCTGATTTTTATCAAGAGTTTTCTTAGGTAACTTCGGTCATTTAAGATATAATTAACTATAGGGGCTTGCCCTTATAGGAAGCTTTTCCGACTTGGCAAAATCGTTCTTATTTTTAATCTCCATTTGAGTAAAAAAAATTCATTCAAGTTTTATGCTTTAACTTGCTCAATTTAATGAATAATCCCACAAAGGAATAAAATGCAAGAGACCACATGAGATAATTGATACATTTAGTTTAATTGAAGAACAAATAGTAAAACAAGACAAGTGAATACCATAGAGAGAAAGAAGAAAGCAGGGTAGCACACTGGACAATCATAGAATTAAAGGGTGGAAAAGGTGAGTAAATGATGTATGTAGGTTAATAGCTATGAAAGCATGTGCAACCAAGCAGTTAGCATAGAATAAAAAAATCAAGCATGGATAGCCCAAGAATATGGGTCAGATGGGTGGTATAGGTGCGGCAGGAAGAACAAGCATGTGATGTGGGCATACGTGAGTGAGGTGTGGTGAGATTAGAAATTGTAATTCGTTATAAAAAGTAGGAATAATCGGTAGCACTGATAGCAATGGATGGCATAAAAATTTAGAATGAATTAGTATCACATCATGTAACCATACATATATTTCGGTTGCACCACTGCATGATTATGACATGCTTGTCAAAATAGAAATTATAATACCATCAGCAGCCACACTAAGAAGGCTTCCTTAACATAGCATCGTCAAAAAGTACATTCATTAGAGGACCACCAAGTAATTAAATACTGAACCACAAAATAATTAAAAAAGTCAAGCATAGAAGACGAATCCCTAAATCATGAACTAGCATAAAATATATGTTGTGCCAAATATAAATTAAATTTTTACACTTTTATATGATAGTTTTAAGGATTATACCTGTGTGCAATTCAATTATGTCCTCCTCAGAATAGAAAAACCCTCCTCTCGCAGTATAGCAAAACCTGCAAGTGGAGGAAATTCACAGCGTGACTTAGTAGAACGCAACATTAGGGATAAAGTAAAAAAGAGCTCTCATGCTAGAAACTTAAACTATGAAATTTTTTTAGCTGTCTGCTTGCTTAAATGGAAAATTCAAATAATTCAAGCAGTACACTGGACCTCAACAGTGATCTTTACCCACTAACAACAAGATGCATATGGATTTTGGCAAGCGCATATGCAGCTGAAGGAATGATAGCTTCAACTTCATCATCATTCACCTTCAAAATCATAAGAAGAATTTCATTGACTGAATTAATGAGTTTGTGCTCCTTACTATTACAGTTAAGTTGCATAAAAAGCATTATTCATAAATATTTAAGCTCTGTGCAATAAAAGAGCTAGAGATGATGCAAATGAAGCAAGGTAATGTGATCCAAGCATCCTTGAAGATAAGCTCATCCATTTCCTATTTTTTGGTATGTTTATGTCATTAGGCTTAAGTTAATTCGACAATTATATATGGTTATCAAGGCCATTTTATAAACTTGAGACTTCATATTCATTTTTAAAATTTTCGTCATTATTTTAGGCATGTCATTATGTTTATTAACATTTTTCACCAGTTTGTCATTATTTTGTTAGGAAGATTATGGGAATCAAAAGTAACAAAATTTGTTACTAGAATTCCTCATAGTGATGAGTTCATAGAGAGAGAGAGAGAGAGAGAGAGAGAGAATATAGGAAGCAGAAGAGAGTCAGAGATTTTGGTTAAAATAGAAACCAAAGAGAAGGGAAGAAAGAAAACCAGAAAATAAGAGGCAAAGCTTACTTGCAATAGTTGTATAAATCATCCAAGATGTTTACACTATACAGCATCCCATTATTCATAAGGACATTTTCATCAAATAGGAAATAATAATAAAGAAAATTATGACCAAAGATATTTATCATATTTGAACTAATTGACAATTCAATATTGCATACTTTATTATATGTTACATCGTCAAAATAGAGAATATTTTTTCTTTATTTCATTTTTAAAAACTCTTGCATTTGCCAATGAGAAAGTGTAAAAATGGCCCCCCAACTATTTAAGGGGGTGATTTTAGTGAAAAACAAGTTGAAATAGTCCCACCCACCGTTAAAAAAAATCTAAAAAAGTTGTTCAGAGAGTTAAAAATAGGAGTAGGAATTATATTTTTAGTAGATCATAAGCCAAAATCAAAAAATATAAGTGTTAGATATGTATTTAAAAATAACCAGCACGTATATAATTTATTTATTATTCTTTAAATGAAAAATCACATAGATGTCTTAATGGTTCGTTAAGTTGTGGTGGTTGATTGAAGTTATAATATTTTTTTAATATATTAATTTTTTAAAAGAAATTTTCTCATTTTTATAGTTGCAACTAGAAAGTATGGGTCTTTTCAAATTTATTGAAATTTCTTAAAAACACATTTTTTAAACTTGAAATCATCATTATTTAAAATATCCTATTTGTATGGTATTACATAACACCTTAAGGGACAGCTCATTTTGTATTCATTCGGCCAAGCAAATTGTTTATGCATAATTTTAAATGACTAGTTAGTAATAATATGAAGTAAAAACATCTTTAGTTTCAGTACTAGAATAATGTCACTCAAAAGTTACTACAATTATAAAAATTGTTAATAAAATTATATTATTGTTCTTTGAAAAAGACTAGTACAAATCATTAATGTTCTTAAGTATTTGGTACTTTCTAAATAATCATAATAAAACAAATCTCATTGCGTTAGTTACGTTTAAGTAATAATAATTATTTAATACATATCTAACAATTATGGTTTTGGATTTTGGTCCATGACCTAAAAAACATAATTCCGAAAATACCCCCTATTTTTAACACACTAAACCTCAATTTCATTTTTTTTTAACGGTGGGACTATTTTAACCTTGAACCTGAATTTCATTTTTTTTTTTAATTCAATCTTTTTTTTCAATAGTTTGGGACTAATTTAGCACTTTTAAATGTCGGGGACTAAAATGGTCTCCTTTAAATAGTTAGGGAACCATTTTGGCACTTCTCTTATTTGCCAATATACAGGCACATGTCGTATTAAGAATACATGTAATTTTCAATTGACTCTACAAAGCATTATAGTAAGGTTAAACCACAACCATCCATACCCCTTAACCTCTCTGGCACTCAACATTTTTCTTGAGTTACTCTTATCATCTGCCCCATGCACCAGCATTCAGAGTCTTTTAGTGCCTCCAGCCCCAACAGTGCAGCCTCCTTGCACCTTTGCTTATATAGCCCTATAGCATTGTAATCTTTCAGCCTTAATGCACCTTTGCCTTTAATCCAGTCATATTGTGTCTAATGCCAAATAATCCATTGGGCCTCAGCCATACATGCCACTCATCATATCCCTGTAACCAACAGTCTATCTACAATACTAAAAAATGTTGAAAAATATACCAATAAAAATGGTAATTAATAACTTCTTCAGATTTTATTAACATTATTATATCATGATCTAATGTACCATTCAACTATTATGATTTTCTCCCTATGTAACACTGACACTTACAAAAAAGCATCATACCCATGTCAGACATGAGCACGGCTCTGACACGCCTCGACACGTCTGACATTACAAAATCTGTCTAAATTTTCTCAGATCTGGAAACGTTTGGGATACGCCTCGACGAGGCGTCCAACACAGGCTTGACACGATTCAAGGAAAAATGAGACACAAGAAATAGAAAATTATAAATATACCGGTAGCCCCAATTATACCTCATTGTCGAAGTCGACTCCTCTCGTTGTGTAAAAGATAATTCCAACATTCATCAAAGGTGCATCTATCATTCGTCGAAGTCGAGCGCCGATAGTTCCCACTTGGGTCATGGAAGCAATCTGTAAATTTGCAAGATAATGCTATTGCAGGAATAGATAGAAATCATTTACACACACCGATTCAATCCACATTCTTTAAAGTGGAGAACATTGTTAATGCTTAGATACTTTCAGATAGAGATATTACTTGAGAGATTCTTAATTAGGTGGAAGAACAAGCCACCAAGTGATAATATTTGACAGACCTTAAATGAACTTCATCACTTAGCACCAAATCTATTAGAAGACCACCTTGACCCTAACTCTTCAGAGAGGAGTTGATTGGGGTATGGTGGAAATGATGTGGCGCGTCATGATGACTCAAAAGTAAGGCTCATAAGCACAGACGGTATGCCTACTAGTAGAGCACACTCCACGAGAGCTTTCATGCATCCAAGAGGTTCAATCACAAGAAGCCAAGCCAAACGAAATACTTGAAGGCCAATCAAAGGATATTTTCTTATTTAAAAAAAAATCTAAATAGTTGTCCATTTTATGTGATTGTGTAATATGTATAAGTTAATGTGTTGTTTTGTCGCTTAAAAAATTCAATTCATAGAAAAGTTGACCATAAGTCAACATTTATAGTAGGGAGTCATATTCCATATGGAAGAGTCAAATATAACTAAGGGTCTGTTTGGGGTAGCTGCAGCTTATTGAATAATCTACTGATAAGCTAGGTGCAATGACTATTACAAATTTTTATTTTTTTGGAAAAGCCAGACCGTTATCTAGGTGCGGTGTGAAAATGCTGTTTTCAGCATTTTGAAAACGCAAAAGCTGTCAAAACGCAGTTTACCCAAATAGGTCATGTGCGTTTTCAAAACGTCACGGCACCAAATAAGCTGCCCCAAACGAACCCTAAGAGTGCGCTTGGTAGGACTTTTGGGTACTTTTCGTTTTGAAAAGCAAAAAAAGGTTAGTTTGGGAGCAAGATTTTTGGGTGCTTCTGGTGAAATCCCATTATTAAGATGGGGAAACAGCGAACAGAGGTGTGGAGCTCGATTCTATGAAAGGAACCGCGGTCTGAAAGGGAAATGATCTTCGTGCCCCTCATCTTTTCCAAATGGGATCAAACGAATAATATTTGAAAATATTGGAATGAGTTAAAGAGATGGGCAACTAGATTAGGTTGAGAAACAATAAAAAAATAGTGTATGCATTAGATTGGTGGAGACAAAAAATTTTAGTAAGTGTAACAAAAGAATATGGATTCTTTATATTTTCATATTAATTGAACTACAATTTTATCAATTTTAAATCCTACCCAATGCCAAAAAATTTAGGATTTCTAGCATAGACTATGAGTGGAAGGGGAAACTTGATTTTATTTTTTTTTTTTGTGTTGTAGCTAAGGGCTCCAACGTCTGGGCAACAACACGGGGACAACAACACGAGACTTCCCCTAGAATTTGGATGAGCCTGAATATGTTCAATCAAATGAAGTCTAAGAAGAAGCACCACAAGAAAGAGAATAAATTGAATCAAGTCATTCCAAACGCTCTGCACCCTCCACACAAAAGCATTAAAAAATGAAGGTCGACACCCAACAGTAATTTGAGCAGATTTCAAAGATCGTTAATCAACACCAGTATGACATATAATGCTCGCAAGGCTATTTAGATGTCGTGAAGTTGTTGGACTCCAATCCTGAGATATTTGATGATATGACTCTATATTTATTCGCTATAAAACATTTAGATGATTGAATAAAACGGGAGGCTTTCATGACGATAGTGTTAAAACGGAGAATTCCTTACCTCTGATATTTTTAAACAATCAACAAAGATAGTTTGTATTTTTTTATTTATGTTTATGATTGATGTGTAAGAATTTAAATTTTTATGCCGAACAATATTATGTGATGTGTTCATGTGACATTTCAAAATGAACGTTTTGCACCAATTGACGTACTTTAATTATGTTGTTGTTCATTATAGCATAGCTTTTTAATATATCCTGACATGCATAAAATAGTCAGATAGACCAATCAAATAAAGAGGAAATTATAGAGATAGTGGAACGAACAACAATTTTAACTACTACATTATGTCTTACTAATAAGTGTCATCAGGCAAATTTGCGCAGGACATCATTTGCGTCATCATAATTTGTGGGCGACAAGTGAATTGGTAATGGTCAAAAGCCATCCAAGCATAACTCATAGTGCGTTTGGCATGTTAGAAAATTTTTTTTGTGATTCGATGAATGAATTACAAAGTAATTATAATTTGCATTGATTGTCCCTATTTGCACCTAAGTATTAGTCATCATTTTAAATATTATATCGTAGGAGTCTATTCGTGTTGCTTTCGAGCAATTTCAACACTCAACAGAGATGATTAACAGATATTTCGATATTAGGATTAACTCTTTGGTGAGAATGTC